TAGTAAGCATCAACATGGCAGCTTCTGGGTTCTCACTTCACTGGCCTGGCAATCAGGAAATCCGAGTTGGGAGCTTGACCCTTCCACTAAGTATCGCACAACCTCGGGCAGGACTACTGTGCCCTGGTAGAATGACAGGTCAGCCTTGGTGGCCTTGGGTCCTCCCTGCTGTGCAGCCTCATCCTGCGCCTCTGTGCCTCACCCTCTAGACCCCTCCACTGCGGAGGACAAGTGTGAGACGACCTGTCGTGCAGAGGAGGAATGCAGCTCTGTCGACGGCGTCTGGGAGTGTGTCTGCAGACAGGACCTCAACAACTCTGGTGAGCGGCTTGGCAGGGCCACGTAGTGGGCGCAGTGATGGTGGAGGCTGGCCTGAGTGGGCAGGGCAGCAGAGAGGGAGCTTCAGAGGGTCAGGACAGGGTGTGGACCAGAATCAGTGGAGATGGAACTGAGGTCAGGGAATGTGGGTTCTCAAAGCCAGTGGATTTGCAAGAATGGGAAGGCAGGGATGGAACAAATTTCCAGGTCAGCCACTGGACCTTGGCCTCAGGAAACAGCTCTGGCATGGGTGGGCTTGACCCACGAGGGAACAAGGAACTGAGGAACTGAGAACTCTGCAAGTATAGAAGCTACATTCAAACATCTGCAGAGTCTACATATGAGGGACGTGGGCAGACTCCTATGCTAGTCCTGGATTTGCCACGTAGTAGCTCTGGGGCCTGGGACAAGTCACCTACCCTTTCTGAGCCTTAATGTCCTCATCTGTAAAATGGGCATGAGATAATGATGAAAATACCCACCATACAGGGCTTTTATGAGAATTAAATCAGAGCGGTCCAAATGGGCAGGCTCTGGAGGTGATGAGCTTCTCATCTCGGGGGACAAGGATGCAGAGGCAGAGACCCATGGGTAGGGATGCCATAGATGAGTTCTAAGTCCTGGATGGGGGTTGGATGAGCTTCCTATTGAGATTATTTCCTTCCCTCCTAGGACTCTGACCTTGCCCTTGGCACAAGCGTGCCTTCCTCTGAGCGCACTCCCAGACGAGAGTGGAGTGGAAGAGAGAGTGTTCTAGGCAGAGGGACAAGAAAGAGTATATGTTTGGAAAACTGGGCAGGAGTGTGGATGAGGTGGTGCTTGTGTGTGCCTGGCAGGAGCCATGTGGGGATGA